GAAGGGTCGAAGTAGCACGGCAGCTGGTAACCTTTTAAGGCACAAGGTAGTTTCAATGTCTGCCACTTTATTTATCCTGAGGAGTTAGGCTGCAGTGGTCCTTTCTTAACCAGGTCCACTCCGATAGAATGCTGGTACACATAGTGGAAAATAGGTCGTGCGTGGCACGCGTAGACGGTTTGCGTACGCACCATCTCCGGTCGTCTTGACATTGCCGTACCTTCGACACAGAGTGAGTCAGGGGAGTGAGTGCAGCAAATGCAGTGAAAGTCTGTTTCACTAGTTCACGTACGGAACACCGGCGCTGGGACAGTTCCGCGGCAGACGTGATGAACGTCATTGGTTCCGACGAGGCATAGGACCCTGCGTTCGATCTGGACCGCTGGTTTTCCCCTCTGTAATCACATTTCTGTGGGATGTGCGAGTTCAGATGTGCGAGTTCATGCTACATGTGTGATGGTCCTTGCAAATACGTGGCTCTAAAAATTCGCGGATAACTCATCGAAGTAAGGAACCAGTGTACCCAGACCCTCTGCCTGGAAAAGATAGCCAGTTATATAAATATAGGCCCAAGTTATGCGTAAGCAGTCCGATAGACATTAGTGAGCCGCATGTCCAGCACGAGCTTATTCGAAATACTCAAATCAACTTGAGAGGGAACTTGGGCGTTTGACGGAAAGGGGTGTCCAGCCGAAACCCTCTTCAAACGTCAAGTTCGCAAAAAAGTAGTGGCAGTTATGACTGGATTTGAATCTCAGTCCTGAAACAAACCTGGGGAAAGTACGGCGAGAAGTCATTTAGCAGGTCATCTTAACCAAAACACCTACCTTTGATAGTGCTCATGCAGGGCTTCAGGGTTCCCAGATTGTGGAAGAAAAGACCCGAGATCGAATTGCCAGCCAGGTATTTTAGATCGCTGTAGGCGACCTGTGAGTTGGGCAGAGAGACATCGGGTACCTTCTTGGCAGGGTGCGGCTTCCGAAATATCTGTCGTGGAATCTGACCGAAGTTGTTGATGAAGCCCACCACAGCACGTCTCTTGACGGGATCATCAATGGCGTAGATGTCGACATTGCCTTCGTAGAAGAGATGATGGAAGACATTGGCGGCCTGTACTGCGGGCGTGCCGCGCTGCTTGTAGCCGAAGATGAGGTCAATCCAGTGGTGCAGGTTGGCTGACACGTATTCGCTCTCAAGAGCCTAAAAAGGACACGCGGTGAAGGGCGGTTGAGATGATCACCTCGAAATTCTCACCTTCGCAAAGCTGTACTTGTTATTCTAACCAGCAGCCGCTTCTACGGTCGTAGTCGAGTTCACATGGTTGGCAACGTCTATACTCGTTGATGAGCGTTCACCGACCGCTAACGGAACTCACTTGTCCCGCTCAACCTTTGGTCTCACTTCTCGGGCACTGACAGCAGCCGTAGCGGTTGGTAGACAAGGCCGTGAGTTTTGCCGGCAAAGAAGATGGAGACTGGATTGACCATTTCTGACTTATTAGCCGTTGTCAGCCAGTCATACCCCAAGTAGTGCACCACTCGAGGCTCGAACTTTCGAACTCGAACTCTTTGTCGACAATACTAATTGCCCATACCACTAGCTGCTACAACTGCTGT